ACTTTCCAAGTGTGTCATGAGATCTTAACTTACGAGTCCTTCAAATTGTTTGTGTATATAAGTAAACGAAACATAATATTTAATTCATTGTAACTGGCAAATGGAAATAAAAATTGATAAACATATACATTTTAGAATATACAGAATATATTTTTAGAGTAAATATACGTGGCAAAATCGGTTTTTGGCGAGAAGCGTGCTTTTGGGAGATGCAAAGAGAAGAAGTAAATGTACACAAGACAGAGTTCATACTTTCATGATAAAGGAGTGCAATGTTCATCTGCAGTCAGTTCCAGCTCTTGGTTCTACAAAATCAATGATAAATGCATAAAAGGAAAACTTCTGGGTCACCCTAAAAACGAATAAAATAATTTACAGTATTATTTATTCTGTGAATGAAGTTGGAAATCTGATAGAAACAATGAAAAAACACCTGTAAATCTCACTAAACTGTTTATCTTAGGACACAAAAATGTGATCGCGTTTATAATAATCGTGATAATTGTAATGATAATCGTGTGTTCGTGTTTCAATTTTATTTCCAGGTATTATTATAGTTTGTAGTAGGCAAAACTGCTTGCTTGGGAACGGCAAAAACTATGCCATACGCGCTCTTAAGAGATAAGGACGGAGATGGTGAATGATCAGGGGATAAAGTTAATTATGTCAATTACTCGTAATTATTTGCTGACCTACGCTTCTCAGACAGCGGCAACCTCTCTACGCGGAACGAAATGTTGCGCGTTCAAATCCTGCGAAAGACAAGTGAGAGCGTAGGCTCTATTAATAATACTGCGAAAGACATATTCTCGCCTCCATACTGTGGCGTTAAATGCACTAACAACCGACCGCGTGTCCCGTTTTACTAACCATATCATTATTCTTCAACTATAATTACGGAATGACTTAAAGCTTTGATCCAACCGAGAGACTGATAACAATAATTTAATGATTATGCCTCGTCTCCATACAGGAATTGAATGTTTAAAATCTGTTACGACCTTGGAACACATTCTTTGTAGTTCGTAAGTTTTTATCTGACATTCAGGACCGCCTAGTTACATATAATATAAATTGTTTGCAGCTAGAGTTAATAAATACTTTAGATATTTATTTTTATTTTGTACCTGCCTGGTAATTTAGAAATGTTTCGACGTATCTTTGTATAATTCCACGGTAAGTAAGGCAACTGAAGGTAGTCTTGAATACGAAAAGATATGGAAACTCATCCGTACATTTTCAGAATAACTAGAGAAAAGTTATTATTTTATAACTAGAGTTATTACTTCTTATAACTAGAGAAAAGTTTCGTGCCTTCTGTATTATTTTAATGCTAAGGATGTGAACTAAGTTGATATTAAAAAATGTTTGATGCAGAACTTCCTTGGATTGACGCTGGAACTCCAGAGATCTGGAACTGTTCATTAACAAAACCTTTCCTATTCATTGAAAGAATTTTGTTGAGTAAATTATTGAAGAAAGAAGACTTTCACGCTACTCATTTGGCTGTTGTTAGCCAGACGGACATTTATTTGCTTGGAGGCGAAAACAATTTTCTATCTTCTGAAACGTGCCAGAGAGTGCTGACGTGAAGCAAAGTCGTCCCGTCTGCAACCCGCGTCGCCCGCGAGTCCTGTCCTGCTCGACCCCGCCTCGCGTCACACTGCAACGCCCAGAAACTATGGATTCGGAATTGCACTTCACTGTAGCGACATCACATGCTGCAGCGCCATCTATTGGAGAGTTGCAACGTAAAGGGCATACAAAAACATCTCCACGAATAAACACTAAGATATGTCAACTTTCATGGAGATCGGTCAAACTATGTCGAAGTTTATCGATCTCGGTTACACCAACATCCATTTTTATACAGATAGATAGTAATATCAATTATTTTTCTTAGAACATTGGGGGCTATTTGAAAAAGCGATAGACAAAAGTTAAATACATGAATGAGCATTTGTTCGCACTGTGCCACCCACGGAGACCTGAACAAGCCGCAAGGAAGCCCTGAGGGAAGCCGTTGGGAAGCGCAGGGCACTTGGCGGCGCCGGCGCCTCCGCCCTCGCCACCGCCCTCGCCACCGCCCCCGCGTCTGCAGCGAGCGAGCGGCGACGTCGCGCCCTCCGGGGACAGAAGAAAGCCCGAGCCACTCGGGCCGCAGGCTGCGCTGCTCGAGTGCCCGCCCGCCCGTCCGCCCGCCCGCAGCCGCTGGACGCGCAGGGGAGGAATGCTGCGGATAAGAGTCTGCCGAGATTTGTTCGTCGCGGAAGCGAACGCCCGGGCACGCGCGCTTTCGACAGTCGACTCCCTGCTGTGCGTGTGTGTGTTTTCCCGCTTTCTCTCTTTTTTCTTGGAAGCTGTGTCGGTGTAATATGTTCTTTTCCTTTCTCGCTATCGCTTATGCAGTAGAAATGTGAAGAAAAAAAAACGGAGAATTTTCGGCAGAAAATTCTTATTACAGGGCCCTAGTAAAGAAAAAGAGGATAAATTTAGGGGGGAAATCCTCCATCAAGTTGTCTAGCCAGAATTCATGGTTTATTGTCCGAAATCCATGGTTACGATACCGAAAAATCGAATGACGGCAAAACGTCTATCTGTCCGTCCGTCTGTGAACAATGCTAGCGGCTAAACTGTTCATTTAATTTTGAGAGATTCTTTACATGAAGCTTCTGAAAGATTTTCAATATTTTCTAAAATTGGCCCACTGGCTTGATTTTTCGAAAATTGAAAAAATTCAACTTTTTTCGGCGATTTCCTACAACTACATTTATGGAGGAAAACATTTTTGCTGGTAATGAAATCTGTTCCTTAAAGATAGATTTTGAAATAATGTCCTACACAATCTTTCGAAAATTTCAGTACTTTTTGCGTAATATATCGTGAAATAACGGTCGAGAAAGTACGTGCTGTACCACTAGTTGTTCATGGACGTTGTGTCCGTGTAATACGTTATTTTTCTCTTCTAAATTTTGAAGAGTCGTACATATTTTTTATACAAAGCGACAAGAGAGTTTGATCTAATACCATAGGTTGCTATTTAAACGAGAGTTCTTTTCCTAAAGTAATTCATACTCGATGCCCATTCAGTCTTCTGAATAAAATTATATTTTACTTGATGTTAAAATATTTAGATTTGTATGAGTGCACTCTTTGGAATTCTCTGAAGAGACGGTGTGCATAATCTAACGTCCGTTCCAACATAAAACTTATATTTTGCGTGAAATTGAATTTCGTATGGTCGTTAATCTATGTCCGGTGAGTCCCAATCGAACTGAATAGTATTTACAATTAATATTTTCAGATTAAAGAATTCGCCGCGCACATTCCGTGTGTTCACAAACTCAAGAGAATCGGGAAATATTTTTCCCATTTACTACAAATTTCTTTTTTTTTTAATTTTTTTATTTAAAAGTATTTTATCTTTTGTCTGTCAGCATAAGTTAAGATTCTCATCGCACTATTATTTCTTAGATACAACTAAAAACGTTAGTTCAATAAGAAAAACCTGGTTAAAATAAACGAATTCAAGAAAACTGGTTCCACTCTTCTGTTAATGAGTTTGAGAATGATTTATTTGTACATCCTCTCGAGCATTTGAAATGAATAAGTTTCAAATAAGAAAACGTATGGTAACCGCGTTTATCACTCTTGCAAAGCAATTAGAAGTTATGTTTGAGTTAATTCCATTAAACTAATCTGTTTCGGAAATACCACCATTCACGTTAAGAACAATAATATCGAATAGTACAATGCCAAAGGCAAGTCAGAAGAAACATTACGTTCACTCTAATACAACTAAAAGTGAATCAAATATCTCGTAATAATGTCTTGCAAATATAACAGCAATTTCCTTAGTTCATCATCCAAACCGCTGACTCATCTGTTTGCGACGTGGTTTTCTCAAGCAGACACGAATGTGAAGCTCTGGAAATACCTTAATTGTTAAGACATTAAGAAAACGGGAACAATCCCTAATAATTATTAAAAGAAAACAATATATCAGGGGTTTCGAAGAGTAATTCACTTTACTTAAATCAAATCAAATTAATAAAATAAGCATGTTTCAATAAATAATATCAGCTAGAAACAAAAATAACAGAAGAGTCAATTCTTTCGTTAATTTTAGACTCTAACATTATTTGTCTTCGTAATTGACGATGTAGATTGATACATAACATTTTATTCAATGATGACGTTATTTTAAATATTTTATGGTTGTATTACTGTCTCATTCGTCGTCCTACGAAGGCTAGGTACACTTAAATAGAGTAGTAATGTATTTTTTTTTGTATTTATGTAGTTTATTTATTATTTTTCACGATCTTACAAATGACTTCAACCAAGATTATAATTTGAATTATTTTCTCACACTCATCCGATTAGGATTTATTCTCGTGAATTAACACGATCGAGACTAAAACCGCTTCCGCGGCTGGAAGAAAAAAAAGAAACGGCTAGGGACATTCGACACGCGTGTAAGGCGAGGCGCGTGCCGCCACGACGCAGCTCCACGGCGAGAGCACTCCACGTCCGCACGACGCGTCAGCGCTCGGCGCGGGCGACACGTGGCCGCCCCGCTGGCGACGCGGCGCGACTCGCCCGCACGACTCCCGAGAGCACGTGGGCGGCGGTGCGCGGCACCGACACGCCCGCGCTCGCGACCCTCCCGGCGCCGACACTTTTGGTCGGTTGCTGTACCGGATACGGAACTCCCAAGGAGCAATGCCTGCCCCCAAAAAACTAACGTGTGCCAGGAAAGTTTCTCCGCACTTCTTGGAGAAGCGAATCACGGGCTCTTACTAACAATTGCATTGCTGCAGATCACTGGTAACTGGTAGCAACTGATGCAGATCACTGGTAGCAACCAGATCACTGGTAAACTAGTAAAGGGGACACTTCCAGCATCTGTTATGATTGTTAGGGAGTACGCACTTTACGTTTCCATTTCTTTCAACCTGCAATTCGGGTTACTAACGAAATTTGTATTACTAGCAGTCTCACCAGCCACTGGTTCCACTGCGGAAAGCCTTCCCTTCCCTAGAATAGGCGCACAAGACGCAAAGCAAAGAGCAGGGCGCGGCGTCGCGGCTCCACTCACCTCGAGTCGAACTGGGTGCCGTCCTCCAGCGTGCCCTTGTAGTGCATTGTGAGCATGTCGCCGTTCTTGGAAGATGCGTTGCATTCCTCGGGCTTGTACAGGACCTCGATCTTGAGCTTGTCGTTGGCCTGGGCGGTCTTCTGCTGACCCGCGGGCTCGGGGTCGGCCGCCGCCAGCGCGACCAGGAGGAGCGCGGCCAGCAGGAGCAGCGGGCGCGCCGCCGCGACGCAGCGGGAGCGGGACATTGTGCGTCGGAGGGGCTGAGAGTGTGAAAGAGCAGGCGGAGGCGGAGAGAACACGTGCGGCCGGCGGGAGGCGACGTGCGCGACTGACGCGTGTGGGCCCGCGCGTATCGACTGCCCCCCCTCCGCCGCCGCCGCCGCCGCCGCCGCCGCGGCGCCTGCCCGCGTGGCGCGACCCCGAACAGCGCCGCGCCGCGCCGCCGCCGTCGCGGAGTGTGGGGTGCGAGAGAGACGGAAGACGGGCAATGAGACGGAGTGAGACGGACGGAGCGAGCGAGCGCGCAAGCGGCGCCGCGCCGCGCCGCGCCTCGGCCACAGGGCGCCCGGCGATTGGCCGAAGGCTCCGGCGGCGAAGGCGGCGGCGGCGTGGCAAGCGGGCAAAGGCCCTGCGGCGACGCGGACGAAGACGCGACGCGACGCGGCGAATTGCGGGAGGCGAGGACGATGCGGCGGAGACAGCGAAGTGAGAGAGAGAATTCGGAAAAATGAGTTGTGAAGTTGAGTAGCCAACAGTCATCTCGTAGAAGAGTGATGATTGTCAGAACAAAGTGGCAAGAAACGTAAACAGTAAAATTACAGACGAAAGAAAGTAGCAGAGTATATAAACCAATACCGCACACGTGGTAACAATCTTTCTCACTCCTTACTTATTAATTTTCCCACAGTACATTGGTTGCTCGCACAGTTCTAGCCTTTCAGCTTTTCCGAGTTCACTACTTTCTCCATCACTTCCCATTAGCAGGTTCTTTGTGGAGGAAGTAATTTTTGTAGTTCCTTTACGTTAAACTTCCGTGTAGGTCCCGCAGCATCCCGGAGGACCACGCGAGGATAGGCAGAGTTTATGATGAATCGGGGAATCTGCGAAGTGGCCGAGGAACAAAGATTGAAAGTGAGTTACGCTGTTCAGAAACAATCACAGAAATAAAATATTATTTATTGTCGAAATGGTCAGGATAGCTACCAGGGTCGGATCCAAAGACAAATTTTGGGAGGGGAAATTCAAAATGTTTTGCCAAATGTGTCACAATACAGATTTAGTCAAATGACTCCAACTACACTTAGCACATGCTTCGATAACATTTTATTCGTTTTAATGGTTATCGTAAAATATTTTTCTTGGAAGTTTTGTGAAATGTAAAATTAATATTAACTGAAATATGTTAGAGGAGGAAATTTCCCTTATTTCTCTCCCTGTGGATCCGCGTCTGTAGCTACTCGTACACGTGGCTATAAAGGAAGAAAAGCAGAAGTATTCCAGTATTTGTGTCGTGACCTAGCACGTAGAAACGGATCGTCTCTGTCCCTGCGTTTGTTGCATTACTCCTCGCAATGGGTAAGCGCACACCTCTGTCGCTTTCGGTTTTCCAAATTAACTACCTCCCACTCTAATTCACATCAGCTTTATCGCAATGTGGGGTTTCCGTGCATAAACCTTTGGCCTGAAGCATCGCGGCAAAGAGCAGGAGGAGTAGACGAAGGTAGAAAAGAAACGGAAGCGTGATAATTGTCAAAACAGAGCGGCAAGAGGAGCTAAATGTTAACGAGTATAAAAGAAAACAAAGGAAATGCGTAATAGGAGTATTTCAAAGGCGGAGGCTCGATCCGGTTACGAGGAAAACGGGTCAATGAGATTCAAAAATATGTACGAGAAAAATAGGACTAACTAGTATTGTGACCAAGACAATTTGATTTTTTCGTAAAACGAAATGGGTTGAAAGTTACGAGGAAAAAGAGAGGCGAAATAAGACCAGTATAAGGGAGCAAATTTGAAGATTGATTGCATTGAGGTAGAATTTGAATAGGAATATGAACACTTTAAATGAACGTGTGGGAGGAAAATAATAAAAGATTCTGACTAGCAGAGTAAACAATCCAGAATCAAGAGAAAAGCAGAAAAGATGTGTTATTCGTTAAAGTCGTATGCAAGTGGAAAATGAAGAGCTCTTCAGAACGCGTTCGTAATTCAATACGAAATTCTGGATTAGGTGTTTACATTAAGAAAGAAATATGTATATGCGAAAAGCTTAAAATATGCATGTGTACTACATGATTGTAGCAAATGTAATGCACATTTTTACACATAAGTCCTGGTCCAAGACTCCTGGTAACGTGCAGCATTTGCTGTATCATTTTCTCTTTGAAAGTGTTGTAACACTTCCAACTCGATGTAGGTACATTGGGGGACTTATACAGCTTAATTTATAATTATGCGTTAAAGAATATCAAATCGAAAAGTAATGTATCTGAAGAGTCGAAAAACCTGTAAATATCGAGGTGTTCATCAAAAGTTCGGTTATGTTTTTTTTTTGTAATTTGAAATCATAACACCAGCATCTACCAAGGATCTGAAAAAGAATTTTTCGAAAAAATAATGGAACTCTCAATTTAAAAAAAAACGCTTTTTAATTGCTAGCAGACGTAATCGAAATTCAAATAAAATGTTTAAAATTAATTACAAATAAAGTAAGGAGAAAATATTATCCATCCTGGAACGATTTCCTAATTTCTAAATGAAGGGACGAAGTTGGATCGGAAACAGACCATCATTTATGTGAAAGGACTGAGAATAACGACGGGATAACATGCGATCGATAAATAAACGCACGGTTCTGAATTGAAGAGTAATAGACCATTTACTCTTGTGGCCCACGTTAAATGTTGAAAATCTACTCTTGCATTGTACTGAACAGAAAGAAAAAGACGGTGTATATTAACTTACCCTTCGTATTCCAATTCATGAAATATACGAAGTATAACAATTCGAATTCCGAGGGGACCCTTAAATGCCTTTAAATTCGTAGAATGATTCCTCTGCGCGAAAATTGTTATTTTATCTTTACGGACCTCATGGATTTCTTTGTATCCTTATAACTTTGGAGGTGATACACTTATTGTGATGATCGAAGGTAAAACGAACTAGTATTTTGCGCGCGGGAGTAATAACGCGGATAATAATAATAAAAATAGATAATAAATTCTGGTTTCTTTTTATTCGTACACTTTCCTCCAGTTTGTCGAAATCGTAGATTATTTGACTGATACTGTATAACCGTGATATGTCTTGTACATGTGTGAAAACTGAAATTATTCTACAAACATAAGATTATTAGATAGGGTTTCATGTGCAAGCGGTTGTTGAATTAGACTTCATACCTGTTAAACTGCTTTTTACACGTCAATTGAAATCCAGTTTGACATGGAATGCACTACTAAGGTATTTTCAAAACGGTGTGATTTTGATCGAATCTTTAGACTTATGTTATCAAAAATTTCAACTGAAATGATATTTTTCTTTTTCCTTGGGTTTGTCCAGCGTCAGTGGCTTGTCGACTTAGGATACCCGGCTGGGTATCCTCTACGTCCTTATGGGGACGCATATTAACTTTTTACACTAGAACACTTGCGGGCTCGTCGGTCTGTGGTCAGCAGACTCACAAGGCTGCGCGACAACACACGTACATGAAAAGCGAGTGACATGCCCACGGCAAGACTCAACCCGGCAGCCTTGAAGACCAAAGGCGCTGAATCGCCAAGCTCTAGCCACCTCGGCCATTCAGGTCGGCTTTGTCAATTACTATAATGATAATATTTAGAAAAGTTAATTCGAGAAATGTTAAAAACAACATCCGTGAACGTAGGTTGAAATAACGAAAACCTCAGACTGCGGAACTCGGGACGTCATCGTTCGGCGGCGGCCGGGCGTCGGTAGCGGCCCGCGTGACGTCATGGACCGAACATAACGGGCCGCACGACGAAAGCGCGAGTGGCCGGGCGCAGGCTTGGTGGGCGTGTGGGTGAGCGGGCCGGAGACGCTGTGCCTGCGTCGCCTTGCGCGCTGCCAGCCCGACTTTCTTCTCCACGCCCGCTCATGCGAAGCGGGGAAATCGGAGCCAGCCAGGAGGACAAGGACTGAGAAGGGTACGAGAGAAATGGGAAGAGAAGTACATTAGATGGGCAATAGTAACATGCAAAAGAGGAGAGAAATGCAAAAGGAATGGAGAATTGTGGGGCGAGAAGAGCAGGAAATAGTGGGAAAACAATCGACTTGTTGGGGCCAAAGAGAGACTTGTTGGGAAATGACAAGGAGGGTCGTTTGGAAAGACCAAGGAGGGACGTTTGGGAAAGACAAGGAGGGACTTTTTGGAGAAGACGAGGTGGATTTGTTCGGGAATAGATAGGGTTTGTTTGAAGGTGATAAGCAGTGGCTTGTTAAGGAAGACAAGCAAGGACTTGTTAAGGAAGACAGCAAGGACTTGTTAAGGAAGACAAGCAAGGACGTGTTAAGGAAAGACAAAGCAAGGACGTGTTAAGGAAGAAAAGCAAGGACTTGTTAAGGAAGCAAGCAAGGACGTGTTAAGGAGACGAGAGACAAGGCACTGGACTTGTTAAGGAAGACGAGCAAGGACTTGTTAGGAGACAGAGACTTGTTAAGAAGACGAAAGCAGGACTTGTTAAGGAAGACGAGCAAGGACTTGTTAAGGAAGACGAGCAAAGGAAGTTGTTAAGGAAGACGAGCAAGGACTTGTTAAGGAAGACGAGCAAGGACCTTGTTAAAGGAAGACGAGCAAGGACTTGTTAGGAAGACGAGCAAGGACTTGTTAAGAAGACGAGCAGGACTTGTTAACGGAAGAGAGCAAGGACTTGTTAAGGAAGACGAGCAAGACTTGGGTGAAGGAAGACCGAGCAAGGCTTGTTAAGGAAGACGAGCAAGACTGTTAAGGAGAGAGCAAGGACTTGTTAAGGAAGACGAAAGCAAGGACTTGTTAAGAGACAGCAAGGATTGTTAAGGAAGACGGACAAGGACGTGTTAAGGAAGACGAGCAAGACGTGTTTACACGGAAGACAAGCAAGGAAGTTGTTAAGAAGACGCAAGCAAGACTTGTTAAGGAAGACGAGCAAGGACTTGTTAAGGAAGACGAGGCAAGGATGTAAGAGAGCAGACTTGTTAAGGAAGACGAGCAAGGACTTGTTAAGAAGAGACGAGCAAGAGACTTGTTTAAAGACGAGACAAGGAACTGTAAGTAAGAAAGACGAGCAAGGACTTGTTAAGGAAGACGAGCAAGTACCTTGTTAAAGAGACGAGCAAGGACTTGTTAAGGAAGGACGAGCAA